TATCTGGTAGTCCTGGTTGGCCCATTTTATTGGTTAGAGGATAGGTGGGAGGAGTAAACAGAACAAAATGCTGGGAGGAAGAGGAAGTGAGGTCAGAGTCTCGACAGCTCTCCTCTCGAGCAGACGCCTGAGAGAGACACCATGCCCCGCTCCCGGGATGAAGCTCTGACCCAGGATGGACATAGGCTAGAATCTTCCTGGTAAGCGCACCTTGGGGTGCCATACACAGATGATTAGAAATGGGCTAAATTAATATGTGAGAATTAGCCTAGAAGAGAATGGGCCAAGCAGTGTTTAAATGAATACAGTTTGTGTGTTGTTATTTCGGGCATAAGCTAGCCGGGCAGGCGGCTGGGGTGCTGGGGACGCAGCCCCATCGCCCTTATTACTACACTGGTGCATACATACATGGGCTCTCCTCCATAGGTTTGTAGACAAGGATAGGCTTGCCTACATTTCTCCCTTACCCTCTTGTTTTTCCTTTTTGGTTTTTAGAGACAGGATTTCTCTGTGTAGTCCTGGCTGTCCTACAACTTGCTCTGGCCTTGCACTCAGAGAGCCGCCTGCCTTTGCCTCCTGAGTCCTGGGATTAAAGGTGTGCACCACCACTGCCCATCTTTTTATTTATTAAGTGTGTATGTCACATGTGGAAGTCAGAGGACTTGCAGGATTTGTTTTTTTTTTTAAACATTTATTTATTTATTATGCATACAATATTCTGTCGGTGTGTATGCCTGCAGGCCAGAAGAGGGCACCAGACCCCATTACTGATGGTTGTGAGCCACCATGTGGTTGCTGGGAATTGAACTCAGGACCTTTGGAAGAGCAGGCAATGCTCTTAACCTCTGAGCCATCTCTCCAGCCCCCGACTTGCAGGATTTGGTTGTTTTACCATGAGGGTTCCAGGGATTGTCTGTCCCAGCAGCCAAGTGTCTTTGTCCACTGAGCCAGCTCAGTGTCACTTCTTACTTTACTGTGGGAATGGATTTTATGTCATGAACCGCTACATGGCCTGCATTCTCTCTTTACTACTTGTTTATGTACACGTCAGTTTGTCTTTGTCCTAATTTATGTAACTAGATAGTAAAACAAATGGAAAATCTGTGTGAAGTGTATTTTTGTTTGTTGGTTGTCTCTCCGGAGTTGCCTGCAGACCCCATACTTTATCTCTGGTTGACTCAATTTGTTGCCATGTGTGAGGCACAGCAGTTTGGAAGCATCAAGGGAAGACTTACAAGTGGGGCAGAAACCCGAAGGTAGAGGCAGATGCTTCACCTCTAGCTGATGTTGTACATTTCAGATGACGGCCCTTCATTACCAACCAAACAGAATGAGGAGTTTCGTCCCTTCATTAGAAGGCTTCCAGAATTCAAATTTTGGTGAGTGAATTGTTTTCCATTGGACAATAGAGTACATCCATCTCTGTATCTTATTTTAACAAACACATAGTAATTGTCCACACGTGGGGGCTATGGAATGACATTTTTTGGTACACATACATTGTGTAATAGTCTCGTAATGGTCAGGGTTAGGTATTTTGAAGTAAGTCCAGCATTGTTGCCCGCTGCTTACCCTCCTAGCTACATGTGGAAGTCATTTTTCCTGACCAGTCATGCCTTTATTTCTTCAAGGCTTTTGTGGAAGATACTTGAGCTATTAGAGTAGACCAGTTTTTGTCCCAGATAGTTATTGGTTTAACAAAACGAGAATTTTGTTTTGCTTGGATGTGGTATGCATTAATCTAAAAAGTAACAGCTGTATTGGGTATGGGGTGGGTCACAGGGCTGCTCTCTGGGGAGACCATCACTTCACAGTGTTTCCCCTTGGGTTGACACAGTAGTCTAGGGTTAGTGGATAAAGGGTCTTAACAGCTGTTTTCCAGGCCCCGTGCCTCCTGTAGGCACGGCTGTTGACTCAAGGCACCCTGGGAAGGTTAGGCCTTCCCAGAGCGGACATCCTGGAAGTTCTGGGAGACTAGGAAGAGACTGGGAACACATTAGTGTAGCTCCTTTTACGACCTTCTGTCAAAAGGTCAAAGCTATGTATGACCTGCTGGCCTGTCTTTGAGACTATCTGCTCCTGGACCACAAAAGGAGCCAAAGTCTTTGGCTCAGTAAACTGAAGGAGCAGACTGAGTTCTTTGAGTGCTTTAACTGCAGCTCTGGTGCTGTGCATGGAGCAAGTGTGTGAGATAGGATCCGGGAGAGGAAATAGAAAGTGGGCAAGACGCCCCCAGGAGCCTGGATGTTGTTCTGTAGGAAAAGAGGAGCTTGTGTGTGTGTGTATGGGGGGGGGGGGTGAGTACAGAGGCTGACAAGGTGTGTGATGGTGGCAGGGCTGTGTGCTGGACTCAGGCACCCAGTGTCAGGACCAGGGCCTAGGCTCTTCTCCAGATGGCAGTTCTAGGTAGCAAACACAAGGTACATATTACACTTTGTATAAGTTTAAGAAGTCTTAGCTTGGGGGCTGGAGAGATGGATTGGTGGTTAAGAGCACTGGCTGTTCTTCCAGAGGACCTGGGTTCAATTCCCAGCAACCACATGACAGCTCACAACTGTTTATAATCCCAGTTTCAGGGGATCTGACATCCTTACCTCACACCAGTTGCACATAAAAATAAATAAAAATGTGAAAAAAAGAATATATTAAAAAAATAAGAAGTCTTAGTTTTTAAAAGGTTGAGAGGATGTGGTTCAGTGTTACACACAGACTGACTTGATGTATCTCTAGTAGGTACCTCTGAGCAGACAAAGGCAGGAGTGTCAGCGGGTTGACAGGTGCCTGGTGCTACCTAGAGCTCATACTAATTTTTCCCTTTGCTTTAAGGCATGCAGCTACAAAAGGCATTCTTGTGGCTATGGTCTGCACCTTCTTCGAGGCTTTCAACGTCCCCGTGTTCTGGCCGATCCTGGTGATGTACTTCATCATGCTTTTCTGTATCACAATGAAGAGGCAAATAAAGGTAAAGATCACAGCACTGCTGTGCCAGGCGACGGCTCCAGCCTGCGGCCTCAGTGTCCCTGGGAAAGTAGCTTGGGTCTTAGTGCTGGGCATGGCCTCCTGTGTGTCATGACTGACCTGTACTCGGCTTCTGGCTTCTGTGAGAACAGGTGGGCCCTTCCTCAACAGTTGCTGAGTCAGAAAGCCCTGGGTAGGGCAGGGTTGGGCTTGGCCCTGTGGTGCCTCAGTGGCTCTCAGGGTCCTGTGGTAACCTCCTAGAGTGTTACGGCACATCCTTGGATTGGTGGTGTAGCTGCACCCTCTGTGCTCTCTCTAGCTCATTCCAGGGGCTCATGAGATGCTGTCCAAATGTTGGGATTTCAGGCAGGCCTCCAGTGGGTCGAGTCCTATGGAGCACACTGTTGGCTTCTTGACTTCAGTTGTGATAGCACAAACAGTCGAGGGGGTGCCTTTGGCTCTGCAGATCTAGGGAGAGGGTTAAGCAGGAAACTGTTCTCAAGTAACTCAAGTTTGTGTGTTTATTTCCCCAGCACATGATTAAATACCGGTACATACCATTCACACACGGAAAGAGGAGATACAAAGGGAAGGAGGACGTGGGCAAGACATTTGCTAGTTAGAAGCCGGACTGAATCTGTCACGCGTGTTCAAGGACGGTTTTGAGCCATTGTAACAATGCCTTTTCTTCACATAAAGTAGTTGATTATGAGGAAGTTGAATTTTCTTTTTAAGAGGAGCTTCAATGATTTGTATCTGAAATATCAGGTTCTTGAAGAAACTGGCATTTAAACCAAATTGCATTGATTTCTTTTTCAGTGATGTTCATGTGTTTGAAGTGAACAGAATTGTAGTGAACCAGAGGCTTGGGAGGCCAGGAGAGTGGCAGGCCAAGAGAGCGGGAGGGAGGATGGGAGTGTAGCCTTGCCTTCCTGACCACGCTGAGGCCGCTCCTCTGCACCAGAGGGACATGCCAGCCTGCTTCCTACATGTGAAAAAGAATGTAACCCTTTGAGGGTGACTCCCAGCAGCTTCGCGGGGTTCTCATGCCAGTTTCTGAATCTTACTCACTAGAGATGGTTTTCAAGTTGGCCTCTATGACAATGACTCAGAACTTTGTTCCTAACTACCATGATTGCTTTTGAAGGCCTGGAATTATAAATATATATTATATTTTAATTGTTTGAGATTATTTTGACACTTTCCTTTGATACGTAACATTTTCCTTTTGATGAATTTAAACTTGTTCTCATGCAACAGCCTCTCTAAGGAGACAGCAGTAGCCAGAGCACACCAGGTGTGGGGTTTGTCACATGGCCTTTTACTTCCTATGGGAAAACAGAAGCCCTCCGCATGTCGAACTTTTTGATGTGATAAAAATAATACTCTTTAAACATTTTACTAAGTGACTTTTAAATTCCAACTTTATTAAAGAAAGCGTCCCTTGCTTGTATAGTCTTCGTCTACACCACTAGTCATTCACTGAAGTACAGCTTGCTCTTCACAGCTGGAGGAGGGGAACCATGATGCCAGGTCCCACCAGGACAGAGGAAACACCACAGGGATCGGAGGGACTGGGGCTGTGACCTTTTCAGAACCCTACCCAGTCCGTCACCTGGGTTCCTTTTGTTCCTTCTAGAGCCACGCTTTGTGCTCTCAACCCATCACGTCTGCGCCTTTCTTTTCCCTCTCTTTCTTTCTTTCTTTCTTTCAACTATGTAAGCACTTGGGGTTCAAATCTGGACATTTTTTGTTTATATTTTCTGCGTTGTTTTCCTCAGCACTGACTAAGCTCAGGTGTGATGGAAAGTTGCAGCCAGAGGAGTGAGTTACAGACAGGGTGCTACAGGTCTGTAGAGCTGTGTTCCAGGTTCCCATGGGGACTCCGTCTTACCATAGGGTCCCTAAAGTTACCCTGGCCAGGTGGTGGTGGCACACGCCTTTAATCCCAGCACTTGGGAGGCAGAGGCAGGCGGATCTCTGGGAGGCCAGCCTGCTCTACAAGAGCTAGTTCTGGGACAGGCACCAAAGCTACAGAGAAACCCTGTCTCGAAAAACCAAAAAAAAAAAAAAAAAAAAAAAAAGTAAACAAATAAAGTTACCCTGTGTATGTCTGGGTCCCCTAGAAGGATGGCTCCTGCTCTTGGTAAGGGGACCTTCACAAGGAGCCTTGTGACATCAAAGACCACTACTGGGAACTGGGCTTCTATCCGGACATCTTCACACTGTTTTATGAGGTCTTTCTAGATCTTCTGGGTTTTGGTTTTTGTTTTTTTCAGGACAGGGTTTCTCTGTGTAGCCTTGGCTGTCTTGGAACTAGCTCTGTAGACCAGGTTGGCCTTGAACTCACTGAGATCCACCTACCTCTGACTCCTGAATGCTGGGATTAAAGGTGTGCACCACCATGCCCAGTTAGATCTTGTGTTCTTAGTGTGGCTTTTCTGTGAAATTAGTTTCTCAAAGATGTGCCAGGCTGTCTGACATGAACTCAAGTTAAAAGCTTGGAAATGTCAAATGGAGGCAAGAATCAAGCTAGGGAAAAGTCAGGAGGGGCTGGACACAGGTGACACTGGAAAAGCAAGTCACAGCTGTCCCCTAACTCCTCAGAGAACTGGTATCTGAGGACACATGGAAATCGGTTTATAGGAGAAAACTCACTAAGCCAACTCTGCCAGGTCGGCAAGGTTTCAACAAGATGCTACTGCCCAGCCCAACCTGAGTTTACTCCCGAAATATATGATTAAAAAAAAAAAATCAGCTCCTGCAAGTTGTTCTCTGATCTCCATACATGTACCATGACATGTGTGCACCTTCATATAATTAAAAAAAATCTGCAACCCAGGGAGCCCCCATTCCTACCCAGAAGGCTACGAGGAAGACCTCTGTTTTCCTAAGGAGTTGGCAACAGTATTAATAAGCACGGGGCAGGAGTGTTAGGAGGGTGCTGACCTCGGTGGGTGTGGAGCCCACAGTGCAGGGCTTCACCCCAGCCTCACCCTCAGCCCTGCCTCTCACACAGACCTGAATAAAATACCCTGAGCTTCCGAAGCAGCTCTCAGCTGTGTGACCTAGGGAGGGAGGGGGAACCCACTACTCCAGAGGGTCAGAAGAAGCCATAATAAGTAAGGGGCAACAAACTCTCCTACCCCCTATGGAGTATTGCCTGTTTGCCCCCAACCCTTTCTCTTCCCAGGTAGCTATGTAGCTTAAATGACAAAGAACAGTGCATGAGGACTTTATATTTCTGTGCAGACACAGTTCTGAGGATAAGCTGTCAACTTGCATCCACTTCTCAGAGCTGTTTGGTGACGATCTGGTCCCGGTCAGCGGTAGTGCCTCAGGTAGACCAGCTTCTGCGGTGGGAACTTTTCCCTGCACAAGGGACACTCTGTCTGTGGGGTGAGGTGTGTGTCACGATGGCCATGTACTGTATCTGGCCCCGATCCCCACCGTATCTCTTCTGTTCCACACATGCACAGCTGTGAGTCAGCCAGAAAACAGCCTCTCCCAGCGTCTGCATCCTAGGGGCACGGGACTGTGTTGATTCACCACAGCTGTGCCCACCTCCTTCAGTACCTAGGAACCCTGGATTTCTGGGGCCTCTCCTGGGCTTTTCCTTCTGACTGAGCCTCTGCCATGGCTTCCCAGCAACCCTGGGCCAAGAGCTGTGGAGGGGAGGGCTTTAGACCCCGTCAGTGAGAGACATCGGGCTGTGTGTGCTGTTCTAGTCTTCCAGCTCGGATGCACCCTGGTACTTCCTCTCAAGAGACAGGACTCTGCACATTTCACACTTACACATGCTGGCACTTGAGCAACTATGCGGACTGCTGACCTTGCAGTGTGAACGCTCGTGTTTTCTATACTGTAGCCCAGGATGCCCACCTCTTACCAGCAGGGCAGCAGCTCACTGGCTAGACATGCCAGCCAGGGCCCTGCTGCTTACAGGAAGCAGTGGCTTTGGGTACCTGTCCTGCTGGAAACAGTTCAGTGGCACAGAGGACAGCTTGGTGTGTGCTAGCATCCTAAGTGTCCTGAGCGTACCAGGAAGCAAGACAAGCCTATGGTTAAGTGTGGCCTGATCTGTACACCTGTCACCTACCATTCACCTGCATACTCAGTCAGACCTCAGAAGGGGAGTTCCCCAAGTCAGGAGAGGGTTGGGAGGTGGGGTCGAAGGCCGGGGAGCACATACCTTAGTGTTGCACCATTCAGTGATGCACTCCCAACAGAAGAGATGGCCACAAGGTGTCGCTGTGGAGTGTCTTCGCTCTTCCAAGCATAGGGTGCATAGTGGGGTTCTGCAAACAGCCCTGTCTTCCAGGGAACTCCTGTGGGGGTGAGGACACAGCTTAGGTAAGTGCACCGTTCACAATCTTAGAGCATGCCAAAGTCCCTCCAACCCCCTGTACACCTGCGGTGGGACAGGTTGCGGTGCAGCCTCCACTCCTTCCTGGCTCTCTGCTTCTGCCTGAAGCTGTACACCTGCAGCCCCATGGACAGTGCCAGATGCAACAGGGAGATGAGGCCCAGCAGTCGGTAGCTTGTGCGAGCCCTCAGGTCCTCTCCAGCCAGGCGGCGAGCACGGAGCTGTTGAGACAGGTGACCCCACCCCACTGCCATCAGGATCCCCCTAGGACCTGGCCTCTTGTCTGCTGGAGGTGTTATGTTCAGCCAGGCCTCCCCTTGGCACTGGGAGTGTCCAGAGAACAAGAATCAACCAGGGAGATGGGCTCAAGTATTGTTGTGAGGGAGAACCCTGGCTACAGGTTGACCTTTAGGCATTAGATGCAAACTGAGCCAGGAGGCTAGATGGACCAGGAAAATGGGTACGGATTCTGGAGCTGTTTGGGGACCACTTCAGAGGACGAGTAGGGTGGGAAATAGCAAGGGGAACCTAGACAGGCAGATGCTGTTCCCTTTACCGCATCCTCTAGGGACACTTTGACCCCCCCGGATACTGTCCTCGCCGCTGCTGTAGCTGGTGATGTAACTCCCATCCACATCACAAGAACCACAGTCTTCTACTCCGTACTCCTTCCTACTGGCAGGGAGATGAAGACAGCAGGGCAGCTATGCCTTTGGGCTGGAGCAGGAAAACAGGATGGCAGGCCCTACAGCAAACCCAGTGTCCAACGTTCAGTAGCCATTAGGGAAGGAGGCTGCTCCATTAAATGATTGCTGGGGTGGGGGGTTTGCTGGACAACCCCTTGTCTGGCAGTACGGAGGTTATCCTGAGGCCAGACTGTGGTTCTATGATGAGACTGGAGGGAGAGATGGCAGCTCTGGTGGGTGGTGGGCATGGGTGTGATACCCAAGGGGAGGTTTTCTGGTTGACAGGATGCAAGGGTATTGGTAGAAAGTCAGGGTGTGAAGAGGTGGGGGTTTAGTACAGACCGTAATGAGAGATGTACTTACTGTGGGCTACTGTAGGAATATTTGTTATATCAAGCCCTAAGACCTTGCCTTTCTGGGAGGGCTGCTATAGGCAGGGATGGACGTCCTAGAACCTGCACTTGACACCTTCTGGAATAGGTGCTCATCCCCCTAAGCAGTGAAATGGACACAGCCACAGGCCAGTGGGGAGAAAACCCAAGTCCACTCAGTGCCCGGCTCTGGTTGTAGGAAGGAAAGGATTTACTGCACTCTCCGTTTGTGGAAACTGACTGAATAAACTCAACAACATGTCGCTGTGACCATGCCATCAGCGTGGGCCCCAAAGAGGCCCCAGCCAGCAGTCCCCCTTGGCATTGCTACTTACATAACGGATCCCTGCTAGCCTCTTGGCCAGGTGGTAGAAGGCACCATGGATGTAAAACCAAGCAACATGGAACCGGTGGAGGCAGGCAAGGCCCTGTCTGAGGATAAAGACTGCCCGCTGGAGTGTTCTCCTCTGCTGCTCAGTCAGGCTGGCTGCATGCTGACGCACCCAGCGCCTTGCCCCTGATCGGCTGCGTCCTCCAGACGGCAGACGCGTACTATCACCATCGGCTTGCAGCTCCTGCTCCAGAGGCAGCAGAGCCTTGTCCAGCAGGTAGGGCAAGACAGCATGCACTGCGACCAGCACTCCACGGCGGAGCCTGGAGGGCACACGCTGCTGGGAGGGGTCCACCTGAATGATTCCAACATACTCCTCTCCAAGCGTCTGGTAGCCTGGGGATCAATGCACAATGATGAGGATCCAATGCAGGGATGTCACACCCCTCCCCCTCCGCATCCTGGAACCTGCCCTTCCAGCTGTCACCCGTGAGACCTAGCCAAGATCAACATGGCTTCTTACTAGACCCACTGTGGGCTTGCTGTGATTTCATGATGTGACACAGATTTCCACTCTGGGATAGGTCCTTGTTTCCCTGGTCAGCTCTTGCTGTCTTCAGTCTTAATTTGTTCCCAGTTTCCCAGTCCCTCCTCTGCCTAAGCCCTACCCACCCGTTGTTCAAGAGTCTCGTGGCTGCTTCCAGGTTATGGCTCAGTCTGGATCTGGTCCAGTCCTAAGTATGAGATGTAAGGTCAGCTGCTTACTTGACAGTATCATATAGAGTCAGAATAAGCACCCTCAAGCCTGCCCCTGCCAACTAGCTAGCTTAGAGTTGTCCAACCTGGGAAAGCCTTGTCTTACACCCTGCAGAAGCCAAAGCCAGACCTCTTATTCCCGAGGCCAAACCTGAGGTGCACCCTGAACTACGCTCTCCATGTGTCTATGACCCTGTCTGTAGCAACCTCTGTCCCCAGCATGTCTGGTCATGGCCTGCAGTTAGCTTCCTTGTATCTGGCAATGCCTCATGCCTCATAAAAGGGAAAGACACTTCCTGAGAGAGGCTCCTTGCTTTGCCCCACCCCAGACTTGGTGTTTTTCCCTGAGGAGATCAACACTTCTCGGGGTGCCTTACAGTGTGGTTACCTGGTGCTTGCTGTTTCTCCCACCACCCAGAGTCTAGTGTGTGGGGGCAGGTCACCCGCAGCAATCTCTCCTGGCGTCTCTGAGGTGATCTGCATTCCTTGTTGGATGCTGAGCTGGCTCTGGTGATCTGAGGCCCCTACCATGGCTTTTCTGTCAAGGACTATCAGCTTCTCTTTGTCCACCTCATGCAGGTTTAATGGCCAGTATGTGAGGGGTCAGGACTGATTTGCCTTTGGCCACTGACAAGTGGGTCCTGGGGTTGGGGATTTAGCTCAGTGGTAGAGCTTGCCTTGTCCAGTGAGCGCAAGGCCCTGGGTTGGGTCCTTAGCTCTGGGGCGGGGATAGGTCCCAATAGCACCCTTGGGAAGGTTCTGGATGAAGTCTTCAGGGATATACAAATGCAAGGAGACCCCCTGGCTGAGGGCTAGTGCTAGGCTTGCCTCTAGAGAGAATCTAGGCGGCACCTCCTCCTCTGGTCAGTGTCTTTCTTCCCTGAGGCTACAAGCAGGTGAATCCCAGGAGCTGCCCAGTGGGTTGGGTGGGCCGTGGGCCCGTCAGTGCCACGGACTGGCTAAGTGCTGCTACCTGCAACTGTGGTGAGGCCAAAGTAGGCTATGTCCGAGAGTAGCTCAATCTCTCTCCTCCATTCCAGCCATTTCTTTGCACCTGAGAGGAGAAAAATGTTACCTCTGAGCAAGTGACGTGGGTTCACTGAAATCCCCCCCCCCCCGGGTGTGTGGGGCGTTAAAGTCCAGGTCCCATCCCTTCTCTGCTAGGGCGATCCTCAACTACTACTTTTTTCTGCCGGGCTCCTCTGCTTCCCTGCCCTGTCCTCTCTCCACCTGGTTGACACGAATGACTCTGAGGGAAGGCTACTTCCTAAAAACCTCTCAGCTGTAACTTTCTTGAGTCAGGAACTGTTCTAGGACTTAGGAGGGCCCAGAAAAGTCTAGGTAGTGCCAAGAACACAAGCCAGAGATCACCTGTTTAGTATCAAATCTCGGCTCTCCCAAATCCCTGCCTGAGAAATCTGCCTGGAAACCTCCACGTGCCTCCCTGTAAGAGTAATAATGCCAGGTCCAACCTGTAGGGGCGTATGAGAAATAAACGGGCAAATGTTTGAGAACACTAAGCAGGCACTGCCCGGCGCAGAGACCTGCAAAGTGTTCTGCACGAAGTCTGTTTTGATCCTCACTTTTCTAAGGAGCTTCGGAGCTGCAGCCTGTCTGGGTGCCCGGGGCGCTCACCCGCTAGGCTGTGCAGCGCGCCCCCCGCCGCGCTCCGCAGGCCTCCCAGGTAGTAATCGTCCTTCTGCGCTGCTCGGATCACTTCGGGTGCACCTGCCAGCGCCATGGCCCGAGTCGGTGAGCTCACACCGCGCCGGCGCGCCTCACGGGCGGGGCCTGTGACGCTCGACGTGCGCTCGCGCGGCGCAGACTGTAAGCATCACGCGGACGAAGGCGGGGCCTAGGCGTGACATCCTGAGAGGCGGGGATCTAAGGGCGGAGCTACGTGGAGGCCGGGGTGTGGGTGGGGCCGCGAGGGAGGGGTGGAGTCACGAGGGAGAGGGGCGGAGCCACGTACTGGAGTCGCGAAAGTCTTGATTCTCGGCCGGCAGGGCCCTGAGATAGCTCTGCTTCTCAGGTGTAATTTTTTTGGCAGGAGTTACATGTCTCTGGGACTGTAGGAGTGGACCCTTAATGTGGTCTCCCCAGTTCTGTTTTGAAGTTTCTCCGGCTGCCTTGGCTTGGGTTGGACAGCCCCAGACAGTACCTTTGACCGCTGCCGGAAGGCAGTCACGTCTCAAGCAGAGGCACAAGCTTCTCGCCAAATCATATCTAACAGTTTGAAATGCCGGTTCTTTGAAAGCCCAAGGCTGCATGTGTTCCTAGGAAACTTTTTTCTCTTCAAATTCAGAAGCTCGACTCTAGCATAACTATGAGGAATAGCCTGCTCCTTTTACGGGACCGCATTTCCTGGATTCTCTTCTGTCAACCACGGGGAGCAAGATCAGAAACATTCCAAGGGGGGGGCGCTTAAGTGTCTCTCTCCATAAGCTCAAATCCTAGCCACAGACCTTGCCTCCGCCGTTGACCGGTGTCTTGACCCTCAGGTTCCTCCTTTGTAGGTTGTGCATCTTAAGGCTCTCCTCGCCCCCTTCTCTCAAAGGTTCTTCCTAAGGGACAAACCACGGGATGACCAGCAGGTGGCGCCATCACTCCATCTATTCTACTAGCTTGGGCAGCTAGGGATAGTACCCCAAAGAAATCCTGCACGTGCCCCCCAAAAAATGGTTATGGTGTGTACTCATTCATAAGTGTATATTAGCCATAAACAAAGGACATTGAGCCTATAGTTCACGATCCTAGAGAAGCTAAGTAATAAGGTGAACCCAAAGAAAAACATATATAGAGCCACCTGGAAATTGGAAACAGACAAGATTGCCTGACAAAATCTGGGAGCTTGGGGGCGGGGGAGGAGGGGAGAAGGGAGGAGGTGAGGAGGAATGAGATAGTCGAGATGGAGGAAGGACAGATATGAGAGCAAGGAAAGAGGTATCTTTTTTTAAAATATTTATTTATTTATTTATTTATTTGTTATATATACAATATTCCGCCTGTATGTATGTCTCAGGCCAGAAGAGGGCACCAGGTCTCATTACAGATGGTTGTGAGCCACCATGTGGTTGCCGGGAATTGAACTCAGGACCTTTGGAAGAGCAGCAGGCAATGCTCTTAACCACTAAGCCATCTCTCCAGCCCCCAGGAAAGAGGTATCTTGATTGAGGGAGCCATTATGGGGTTAGCAAGAAACCTGGCTCTAGAAAAATTCCCAGGAATCCACGAGGATGACCCCAGCTAAGACCCTAAGCAATAGAGGAGAGGGTGTCTGAACTGGCCTTGCCCTGTAGTCAGATTGATGATTATCTTAAATATCGCCATAGAACCTTCGTCCAACAACAGATGGGAACAGAGGCAGAGACCCACATCTGAGCACTGGACTGAGCTCCCAAGGTCCAGTTGAAGAGTAGAAGGAATGAGAATGTGAGCAGGGAGGTCAAGACCATGAGGGGTTCACCCACTGAGACAGTTTGCCTGAGCTAATGGGAGCTCACCAACTCTAGCTGGACTGGGAGTGAACGAACAAGGGATAAAACTAGCCCCTCTGAATGTGGTTGACAGTTGGGGCAGACTGAGGGGCCACCGGCAGTGGCACTGGGATTTGTCTCTACTGCCTGTACTGGCTTTTTGGGATCCTATTCTCTTTGGATGTGTACCTTGCTCAACCTAGATGTAGTAGGGAGGGCCTTGGACTTTCCACAGGGCAGGGTGCCTTGCCCTCTCTTAGGATTGGAGAGGGGTGGGGTGGGAGGGTGTGTGGAGGGAGTGGAGTGGGAGGAGGGGAGGCTGTGGGAATTTGGATTGATATTTTTTAAAGTAATAATAATAATATCCTGCACGGGTTGGGAAATAAGAGGCCCTTCAGCAAGGAGAGAAAGTGGTGGACAGGATGAGTAGTGACATCATTGCAAATCAATTCTCTGAGTTCCCAGGTGACCATCTGACCTGGAGTCTGTCTTTGCTTCTCAGTGTTCCGGGGTTCCAGGGCTCTGAGGTGGTGGCAGAGTGAGAATTCTTGCTGGGGGACAGGGCATATGCCCCTGGTCACCTCCCTTTGACCACTCTTTCCTGAACCACAGGGGTCCTGGGCCTGAGCCTGTGACTAACTCCCTTGTAAACTTTTCCCTCTGCTCCAAAGAGGGAGGATAGGAAGGCCAGGCTCCTGAGGATTTCAGGGAAGGCACCAGAGGTGTGGGTCATCGTGGTTGACAGCCCTGGCCCTGGCTGTGACTCGCCCATTCCCACCTCCTGGGCTCCTTGAGAGTCACCCAATCTGTGAGCTAAGTGTGTTTCCCTGTTATCAATTGTAGTGGGGTTTCCTGGGGACCCTGCATCGGAGCATCTCTGGGCTGGTCTTTGACTGCCCCCTTGGGGCGCTCAATAGCCGTGTGCCATCGAAAAGGGACAAGGTGTGTCCTGCACATTCCTTCATTTGGTGGGCCTCAGCTTTCTGGCCTGTGGGTCAGGAATGATGATGGCATTGGTTGGTGCTTATTGAGAGCCCACCACGCCAGCAATGAGCACATGGATTGTCTGGGCACACACAGAGATGCAGGTGGGCAGAAGATCCGGGACAGGATGAAATTCTGCATGTCCGACACAGGAGCTTCTGGGGCAAAGGTCAGTCATCCTGGAAGCAGTGTTCACACCTTTACCTCTCAACAACTGCTTCTGTGTTCTTCATACGCTGGGTATTTTATTGTCCTGCCTATTGGAATACTGGCTCCGGCCACTTCGTTTTCTAATTTTATTAAATAATTAAATTTATCGTGTGTGTTATATGTGTGTGAGCATGTTTGCACACGTGTGGGTATATGTGGTGTGTGTGTGTGTGTGTATGTATGTGGGGGTGTAAGGATGATCTGTGACGTCATCCTGAATGGCTCATCCGCTTTATTCATCGGAACCAAACCCAGAACTCGCCCATATGGCTGGTGTTCTTAGCTAACACTGGGGATCCCCAGAGTCTGCCATACAAGGCTAAAATTACAGGCAGTCCATCTCGCCCATTGGATGAGCTCTGGGATCCGAGCTGCGGTCCTCGTGCTGGGACAACAAGCACTTTATCCACTGAGTCCTAGACCCAGCCCTCTCCGATCATTTATACCATAGTTCTGTTGATAGGGAGGCCAGACCCAGCCCTATCCGATCATTTATACCATAGTTCGGTTGATAGGGAGGCCAGGAATAGGGTAGGCAAGGACTGGGAGGCCAGGGAACTGGGTGGAGGGGGGGAGGGCGCTCAGCAGGTGGTGTCCCTATTACAGGTGGTGTCCGCTCTGTGTCCCCCCACAGCCCCAGGTTATCCTTCCCAATACCACCTAGCAGACTGGTAAAAGAGATGGGAAGTCAGCGCACAGAAGCTGCCCTTTGCCTGGGTCTGTTTGGTTCCTTGGAAACTCTTGCCTCTGCCCCTAGCAGGGGTTACTGTTTGGGTGGTTGCTGTAGACATTGAACCTGGTATGGGACTTGCCACGCAGCTGCCACTTGGGAAGACAAGGAAAAGCGCAGTGAGCCCATTTCCCTGCCTGATCTAGCCCTGGGGTTGTACTATTGGGTCCACATCTGCTCTGAGACCTTCACTGGACTTCTGGTCACTGGACACTGGTCAGCTGGCCCCCTGGGAATCAGATGAGGAACTAGACAATGCTTTCTCTGCAGGACTGGAGAGAAGGTTGCCCTAGTCTGATGGGTTTTAGGAGGCCTACCTCACCACCTGGGGCTTGGAGCAGGGGTGAGTCCTGGGGCTCTTTAAATTTTCCATTATACGCTCATTTTCGCTGTAGAGGGGCAGAGGGACTGGGTAACAACCCGCCCAGGTGTAGCTCCTGTATGAGGACGTGACTGTTAGGGTGGGGCCTGCCCTAGGTACGAGGCCCCTCTACACAGGACTGTAAACCTGGAAAACAGGTTCCTCCACCCAGGGCGGGCACGCGGGAGGCTCTGTGAGCTCACCACAGCCAGCTGCCTTCGTTGCTGCAGATTGGAGCCCTGGAGGTACTGTGGGCACCAAGAAATGGTGGGGGTTTTGGAGGGAATGTGTGGCCCCAGAACCAAGCCCGGGAGGCTCTGTCTGGTAGGCAGAGGCCTCTGAGAGCCTCCCTCCCTGCTCCTGTGGGCTTCCTAGTGAGGGTAGGACCAGGAGCAGGAAAGTTAGCCCTTCTTGGAGACCGTGTACCCTGGGAAGGGACTCTGGGTAGTTCTGGGGGCGCAGGCAGGTGACTGGGATGTTACCCTTAGCCAGAACCCAGGGTAGAAGTGGTTATGTTCCTTTGCGGGCCCCAGAGACAGGAAAATTTGAATTCTCAATGCTGAGCCAGCGTGGGCCTCTGGGGCTTTGTGCATTCTCAGAACTTGGAGCTGAGATGGACACAGAGCCCTGGGGCTGGGGAGGAAGGAGCTTGGTTCTGGTGGCATTACCTCAGGTTAGTGGTTAGCATAGGACTGAACTCAAGTCTGGCTGGTCCCACTTCTCTTTATCTGCCGATGGAATGAGTGTCTAGCACTGGGCAGCAAGACTTTATCGGTGGGGTGAGGGGTCCTGACACGGTGGCCATCATCCTGAACCTCGCTGGATAGCAAGGGGTTTACATAAAGGTTTCCAGGAAGCTGGGTGTCGGTGGCACACAGGAGGCAGAGGCAGGGGGATCTCTGTAAATTGGAGGCCAGCCTGGTCTACAGAGCAAGTTCCAGGACAGGCTCCAAAGCCACACAGAGAAACCCTCCCTCGAAAATTTAAAAAAAAAAATTAATTAAAGTTCCCAAGGAGTGGAGATCTGGGAAGGGGGGGGGGC